CAGGCTCAGCAGCCATGGTTCACAGGCCCAGCTGCTCCGCGGCATGTGGGATCTTCCCAGACTGGGGCACGAACCCGTGTCCCCTGCAACGGCAGGCGGACTCTCAACCATTGCGCCACCAGGGAAGCCCGAGGACGTGGTTGTTAAAACACTGGCCGCTCTTTGGTAAGCAGAGAGGAGCGGGACCTAAGTATAGACCTCAAGTTCAAGGAGTCTCACCTGGGTGGCATCGCTATCTTCACACTTGACCCTGCACTCGCTGTTGAACTGGAAGCCATTAGTGCACTGGTAGAGCCCGTGGAATTTCGGTGGAGGAGGGTCACAAGTCACCGGAACACAAGCCCCCTCCTGCCAGCTGCCATCTTGGGTGCACTGGGTCTTGAAGGCCCGTCTTCAAGGAAGAGATAAAAGAAGAGACATCTCAAGGACCAAATTGGCTGGAGCCACGCTCTGCACCCATGTTTCTCAGGAGCCGGCTAGCCTCACGTCTCCCTTTCCCCTTCCTGATTCCCTGCCCGTCCTGTTGGGTCGTAGGGGTTAAGGTAAACGTTCTTTTCTCAGGGCCAAGCAAGAGTTACCTGTGGACTGAAATAAAATTCAAGCCCTGCTGGCCCATCTGCTCTGATGGATCCTGGCGCAGGGACGGTATCAGTACCCACCATTTACTATATACCAGGCACTTTGCAAGCACTTTACATATACATCCTCATTCATTTTTCACAGCAATCTTATGTGGTAACTGTTATTATCATCCCCATCTTATTGCTGAAAAGTAGAGGCCCAGAGAAGTGAAGTCACTTGCCTGAGGGCACACAGCCAGCAGGCAGTTGTTAACAATATCCTTCTAGATTCCCACCAAAGAGAATGGGAGGAATGGTGGGTACTGTCTCTAGCAGAGAAGTGAGCACTTCCTTCTAACCAGACAGCCAGACCTGGCTCTCCACCCGCCAAGCACGTGTGAGTTTGCCTTTGCAGCCCCACTTACTTCTTTGACTTCCGGGAGGAGCCGGGCACGTGGTATCCAGGTCTGCACTTGTACTTGCAGAAAGAGCCCACCTTGTGCTTGTTCTCCCGGCAGCGGGCCGTCTGGAGGTCTGCGTTGGGCACTGGGGGTGGGGCCAGGCACAGGAGCTCGCACAGGGCCTCTGGGAAGGACCACAGCCCATCCTCCATGCAGGTCAGGAGACTGTTGTTGCCTGGAGGACACAGGCAGGCGGGGGTAGGTGGGGGGGGGGGGGGGGGGGGGGGGGGGTGGTTGTTGCAGGTCAGGAGACTGTTGTTGCCTGGAGGACACAGGCAGGCGGGGTTAGCTGGGGGTGGGGGGGTGGGTGAGGTCGGGGTAGGGTGCGGAGCGTGGTCTCTTGAGAGCCCAATTCAGGCACTGCCTGGACTGAAGCCAACTTGAAAAACCAGAGGATCTTTCGCATGTAATTCCAGACCCTTCCACTTACAACTGAGGAACCTAGGGAGAGAAAGAGCTGCCACAAAAAAAAAAAAAAGGAGACGCAACTTGGGGAGGGACGTACCCCATGTATACAGTGAACTCAAATTCAAGGCTCCTGCCTCTTGATTCTGAAACCTCTTATACTGCATAGAAAAGAGAACTCCATAATCCTTCACTCCATCCTCCCTCCTTTGCCACGGACATTCGAGCCCAGAGATGAAGGCCCTTGCCCTCTCATAACTGGCAGAGCAAGCTCCTATCAGACCTCCGGGATCAGTGTGCTGTGTGACCTCTAGCTGCCGTTCCCTCTCTGAGCCCTGTACCCCTGTATTTGCCCTAGCCCCCCCCCCCCCCCATGCCTGGAAGTAAGAGCGTTGTGGTATCTGGAGGCTTGATTTTCTTTTCAGGCCCCAGTATTCAGTGAAGCTTTGCCAAAGCGGCTGAGAGATGAGCACGTCCCCCACAGCCCGTGCCAGCTCCAACAGACGTGCTGATTGCCATCGGGAAGCTGGCCTGATGGGGAACGTTACACATAAAAGTAAAGCACGGGGAGTCAGGCTTTTCACTGCCAGGTCATATATTATCGATGCACAGCCTGCCCCAAACCTCCCCAAGACAATCAGAGATGGACCTGAAACTTGGATCTCTCAACCGAACTTTCCTCTTCCCCGTTATCCTTGAAAGGTGTTGACAACGAGGACTGGAATCACATGGGAGGCTCCGGGATTTGGAAGTTGGAGAGGGGTGACAGGGACGAGACTGATACTGACTGATCGTTTACGGCGTACTGAGTACTTCTGCTATGTGATCTCATTTATTCTCACCACAGTGCTCTTAGTAGGATGACTCCCATTTGGAAACAGGGACTTAAGAGAGACAAGTGACTTGACCAAGTTCTCCTGGTTAGTAAAAGACGAAAGTGGGGTCTAAAGCTGATTTTGTGGTTTTTAATGGCAAGTTGGCTGTACTTGCTCAGCAGAGCTCTCAGGGTCTATTCTGAGAGAGCCAAGCCCCAAGTCTCCCAGCTCCAGAGAGAAAGCAATTGCTCCTGCCTTTCAGCGTGATGAGAAGATCAGATGGAACAACACTTACGAACTGCGCTGCCGAAGAAAAAGTGCTGTCAAATCCCTTAGTTTCTTCTTCCCTCCCTCCTTCCCTCCCTGCTTTTCTTCCTCACCTCCCCCGCTCTCTCCCCCCTAGCCTTTGCTTTCAGTAGCAGACCTGAAAGGACCATAGGGGTCGCATGGAAGCCTTCGTTCATTCAACAAGCATCTATTTAGTGCCTACTCTGTGCCAGCTACTCTTGTCTACGTTGGGACAACGCAGTGAACAAAACAAAATCCAAACCCTGCCCTCTTGGAGCTTATGTTCTAGTGGAATAGGGAGGAACGCATAAAAATATCCTAAGAAAGCAAACTATTTAGGAGGCTAGAAGGTGGTAAGTACTATGGAGAGAAATAAAGCATGAAAAAGGAGAAAGGTGGGAGGGTATGTAGGCTCCTCTGTTGCTTCTCTCCCCGTTCACCTTCTTCTTTCTCCTCCTGTGTCTGTGGAGTACGAGACAGTTTAGGGTCTGCAAGCCCCACAGAGGATTCCACGTTGATAAACTGTGACATTGCAAACTATAGATATTTCTACACCAAGTGAAAAGAAAAAAGGGTGTGGAAGGATGACTCATTTGGCTTCCACAGAAGCAGAGAGGGCTCCAGGATACCAGAGACCATAAACTGCTTTTTCGCTTGGCCCCTGTGACGGGGGCAGTGTTTGGGAGAGCCCCCGGCTTAGCAAGCACTTAGTGGGGAGGGCAGTCACAAAAGATAAGGGAAGCACACCCTCTCTAAATTTCCCAAGAAGGATAAAATACCTCTGGGGAAAGGGCTGAGGTGCTTTAACAGTACACCCTACCAGCTATATGCAAATCACAGATCGCAAAGCGGGAGGCATGGCTCCTTTGTGGCAAAAACTAACATAAAAACCGCAAAATGTTAATCCAGAGAGAAAATGCAAACCAGAAATGTGCATTCTGGGAGAGGGTAAATAGGAGTTAGCCGTGCACCACAGTCAACAGAAGAAGCATGCTAAAGCAGGAACCGGTGATTCAGGACCATGGACATGCCCCACCTCACAGCGAGCGCTGAACTGTGCAGAATCAGCATGTCCACGCCCTAGCTGTGGCCGCCACCCTGCAGCCACCCTGGGGCTTTGAAGAAAGTAGGTAGGACACTGCTGTCCATGCCCTTGGCTCTGACCTCTAAACGTTGAAGGATGCCTACTGCACCTGCAGCCATCTGTCACTGGAGGCCTTTTGTTCTGACCAGGGAGGCTCTGCTGCACACAGGGCAAGCTCACAGCGCTGAGGTGTCAGTGCTCCCGGACGTAGCACTCAAGGAGTGAAGGAGCTGGGGCATCAACAAGACAGTTTCCAGAGGAATGTTCTACCCTGTCTCCCACTCTTCCCCAGCGGGACTAAGCTCCAGCTGCCCACAGAGGTAACTGGCTTTAGAAGAGATCCTGACGCTTCTATCATTTCCAGGCCTCCTTTTCTCATTCCTCTCCCTGTGTTTCCTGGGAGAACATGACTCAGGACACGAGGTGAAGGCATTTCTGAGCCTGGAATCCCTGGTTGAGGGGAAGAGTGCCGATGTCAGAGACGGCGTCAGAAAGTTATGTGACCCTGTACTTTTGTTTGTTCATCTTTTAGAGTCAGGAAAATGAATCTTGCTCAGCCTGTCTACAGGCAAAGGAAATTTCAATCTCTAGTGAGTATTAAAATAATTATAAATGTACTGTCAAAAGAAATATATCTATTTTTATTATTGTATTTTAAAGAGTATCTAGAAGACCCCATTTCTTTGAGAGTGCCTTTAAGATTGAAATTAACCTAGTGTGGAATACAAGGAGGGAAATGCCAGGAGACCTATGTCTGGTTTTCTTAATGCCTTGTATACGGTGTTGGCACTGCCCACATCCTAAGGTCTGGGACTCGGTCTTGTTCATTCTTTTATTCCCAGAACTTACCCTGTGGCAAGCACATAGTAAGCCCTCAGTATCCATTTGTTAAATGCGTGGAGTATTATGAATCTACGTGTGACCTTGAACAAGTCACCTAACCTCTCTGTCCCTAAACCAAAGCCATCTTTAAGTTCTTGTCCAGCTCTAATATTTTAGGATGTGGAAGGATATTGGCCACTGTATTAAGAAAACAAAAATGCAGCGAGCTGGACCAGGATAAGGACAAACCAGCACTCAGGAGGTTGCATTAACCAAAGGCAGAAGTGGGAGGAGATTCAGCTTCATTGCTCCTGTTAAGAAACAGACCTTGGACTTCCCTGGTGGCGCAGTGGTTAAAAGACTCCGCCTGCCAATGCAGGGGACACGGGTTCGATCCCTGATCCAGGAAGATCCCACGTGCCACGGAGCAAGTAAGCCCGTGTGCCACAGCTGCTGAGCCTGCGATCTAGAGCCCGCGAGCCACAACTACTGAACCCGTGTGCCACGACTGAAGCCCACGCGCATAGAGCCCGTGTTCCGCAGCTAGAGAAGCCACTGCAACAAGAAGCCCGCGCACTGCCACACAGTCCCTGCTCGCCACAACTCGAGAAAGCCCACGCACAGCAACGAAGACCCAACCCAGCCAAAAATAAATAAATGAATACATTTATTTTTAAAAAAAGGAAAGAGAAACAGACCCTGACAGAAGTGACAGCGCAGGAAGAACGAGGCAGACTAACACAGAAGAGGCCTCACCCAGGGCTGGGGCTGCATAAAGTCAGGGAGAGGCTGAGGCAGGAGAAATGGAGGTACCAAGAGAAGCATGCAACCGTCTGCCGATTTGAGTCCTGAAAGCACATTTCTAGGCTCCTGGAATCCCAAGGAGTTAAAGAGAAAATCTGAGCTGGGCTTGGCAGTCCCAGAAAGCATCATTTGCTCAGTAAAACTGGGCTCTCTCAGCTCCAGCCTGGGTGAGTCAGATCACGTTTTGATTATTAAATTGTCCATCCCCCCCCCCCCCCCC